TGTCCCCCTGGCTCTGAGGGTAGAAGTGTAATTTTTCGCACTGCCATTGCACGCTTACTTGGTTCGAAAGCTTGCTTTGCAAATTTTCAAAGACAGACAAATAGTTTCATCCAGATAGGTGAGTAGTGTAGGGTTAGGGTTAGGATATATAGGAAATCCTTAGTCCTCAGTTTGCTAGGCTGGCTGTGAAACAATGAACAACGAAAATTTCACTATCATTTCTACTCCTATCATCATCATAATCATCATTACCATTTTATCATCATCACTACCATCACAACATCATCATCACCACTACCACCACAACATCATCACCACCACTACCACCACAACATCATCATCACCACTACCACCACAACATCATCATCACCACTACTGCAGCTCAGTTTGAGATGACGAGTGGCACGAAGCGTCGCCACGAGTTCTGCACATACGACTTCTACAGCACGAGAAACTCGAAAGCTGGAAAGTTTTATTCGCCCGGATACCCCCAGCCCTACCGAATAAATTATAACTGCTCCTACGTCTTCCACGCACTTGACAAGGAAAGAATCCTAATTAAGTTCGCTTTTATACGGCTGCTGAGGTCGTCGCTGACGTCATCATCACATTTGGCGTCGTGCGATGGCGGTGATTATCTTATGGTATTAAACGGAAGTAGTAGTAGCAGCAGCAGCAGCAGCAGTAGCAGCAGCAGTAGTAAAAGTAATAGTGGTAGTAGCAGCAGCAGCGGTGGTAGTAGTATTAGTGATAGCAGCGGAACAACATCCGCTTTGATATTAGGTGTCTTTTGTGGCTTAGAAGGAGAACGGAAAACTGTGACGTCACTGAGCGAGAAAATGGTTGTTGTGCTCATTTCCGCCGGAAGTAGTAACAAACATGGCGAGAAAAGTGGCGGCGGCAAATATTGGGTTACGGGCGGCGATGATGGTGATGGTGGTGATTTTGGTGGCGAGGGGTTTGAGATTACATACCAGTTTATCAATGAAGATGATGCTGTACTACTGCATGATGCCCAGTCAAGTATGTCACTGTTGTTGTTACTGTTGTTGTTGCTATTAATGTTGTTGCTGTTGTTGTTGTTGTTGTTGCTATTGATGTTGTTGCTGTTGTTGTTGTTTTTGTTGTTGCTGTTGCTGTTGGGGTTGTTCTAGAAAATGTCCATTTCCTAGCTGTAACTTGCTGCAGTGAAATTCTTATGATCTTACATCACTTGCGAACATTCCCATTCCAAAACGCATCCACAGACCACCACAGAACGGAAAACCTACTTAGCAATATTTCATCATCGTCGTCGTCATCACCATCACAATGGTCATCATCATCACCACCGTCGTCGTCATCATCATCATCATCGTCGGGCTGTACGCGCGAATATTTAAGCGTCCAGAGCAAGAGCGGAAGTGTCTTGTCGCCATCTTATCCGTCGTCTAGTGTTGCCAACTTAACCTGCAGGTAACATGTCACGTGACTAAGATGATGAGGAGGATGATGATGATGATGATGACGATGATGACGATGGTGACGATGATGGTGACGATGATGGCGACGATGATGGCGATGATGATGTTGATGATGATGGTGATGATGGTGATGATGTTAATGATGATGATGATGATGGTGATGATGTTGATGATGACGATGGTGATGATTGAGTTTTTGTTACTTTTCATTTTCGTGGCAATATTTGCAACGATGCTGATGTTCTTTTAACATCATCATCACAACCATCATCATCATTATCACCGCCACAACCATCATCATCATTATCACCACCACAACCATCATCATCTAGATACATATTCAGAGGACACGGAAATGAAAGAGTCCAAATACTTCTAGAAGAATTTCACGGAATAATGGGTAACAGCATCAACAACAACAACCAACACAACAAGTCCGTATACATAATATATACATATATAACATTCATATATTTTTTCTTTCTTTCTCTCTCTCTCTCTCTTTCTCTCTCTTTCCGTCAAAATTTTTAGTTAACTTTAGTTAAAATAAAAGAATGGCCGAATTGATGTGACTGATGAAGATGATGTTGGAGACTATGCGATTTGGGACGAATAACAATAATAATAACTGTTACTATTTTTATTATTATTATTATTGTTATTATTATTATTATTGTTATTATTATTATTATTATTAATATTATTGTTATTATTATTATTATTATCGCTAAGTTATCTTCAAAGGACAAAAACCGCAGTCTGAAGATCGAGCGAGCCCAACTCAGCCAATCATTCAATCAATCATTCCGAGAAATAATAAAAACAAAAATAAACAACAACAACAACAGCAACAACGACAACTCCTACAAATTGCATTAATAAAAACACCGACAACAACAGATCATAAACAACAACAAAAAACATCAAAACAAAACATCAACAACAACACATAAACAACAAAAGAACCTCAGCAACAACAAAAACACCAACAACAAAACATAAACAACAGCGAATGCTCCGAACGGGACGACCGCCTATTGGTCACAAGTTTCATTTCCGGCCACCATCGACCAGTCAGCGTTCTCTGCGCTGGCAGTCACGTGACCAGCAAGTCACTTCCTATCATGAGCAGCGACAACCAATTAGAGCTCATCTACATTACTACTTCCGCCGAAAACAAAATGGCCGCTGATGGCAGTAGTAATAGTAGTAATAGTGGTGCTAGTAGTAGTAGTAATAGGGGTAGTGGTACTGGCAGACGATTCAAAGTCAATTACTCATTTGTGACAGGTTTGTTTGGAAAAATGTTTTCCACATTTTTTAGAAGTTATTTTCAAGTTACTTGTATTAATATTAATACTAAAAATTTACGGATTTTACTTCTATTACGAAATTACCTGCTGGGTAGAACTTGTTGTCATAATGAAAATAATAATAGTAGTAATAGAAGTAGTAGTAGTAGTAGTAGTAGTAGCAGTAGTAGTAGTAGTAGTAGTAGTAGTAGTAGTAGTAGTAGTAGTCGTAGTAGTAGTAGTAAGTAAGTAGTTATTGTTGTTGCAGTAGTAGTAATTAAATTGTATTTCTGACAACCCTAGTGTGCGCTATTTTTAATAGTCATCCTTCCATATTGTCGCTCAGCATTCGAAATATTATTTATTCTTTGCTATTTCCACGTTCAATTGTTCTTTGGTTGTGTTATTGTTGTTTGCGTTTGTTACTTTTTGTTCTATGTTTTTTTTAAGGTGTTGAGTCAGCTGTTATTTCTTTGTTATGTCGGTGTATTCGCTAGTTTTTTGCTTGTTTGCCTGGGCTAATTTGTTATTGTTGATGTTGTTTAATTAGTTCTTTGTTATTTGATTAAGATAATTGTATACATGGTTTTTGTATTTATTTATCTGTCTATGCTTCTTAATGTTTATTAATCTTTGTTGGCATTCCTGCTTATTTTTGTTTCTGCTTATTGGTTCTCTTTCTATATTGTCTACTTTTTGGATTTTTGTTTGGTATATTTTTGTTGTTGTGTTATAATTATTATAATAATATTATATTATAATATATTATACTATTATTCATTATTAGTTTTTTTTATTTTCTTCAATTCAATTAATCAAAAAAAAAAAATTTTTTCAAACGCAATTAATCAACTATCGAATTTCTCATGTTCTTTGTCATTAAGTGCTGTTAAAAAGATTACCATTGTTATTGTTATTGCTATTATTTTTATTATTAATATTAATATTATTATTATTGTTGTTGTTGTTGTTATTGTCTTTGTTTTTGTTTCTATTATTATTCCATGCGACTCCGTCATTTTTATATCTATGTTTGCCACGTCACTATGAGTTATTGTCATTTAATTGTCTATGGATCGTGATGACGACGACGACGACGATGATGATGATGATGGCGATAATGATGATGACGATGATGGTGATGACGATGATGATGACCATAGAGTTTTCTTTTGAAATTTTTTTGATAAATAAATAACCAAAAAAACTATATTAAAAAATATATGGAAAGTCCAAAAATTCAAAAAAAAAACAAAGAACAAAAAGTAGTATGCATCAACGGTTTTTTTTCTGTAACCATCTTTAACACACAGGTGGTGATAATGGGAGAAAATTTTGATGAAAAATAAAAATGCAAACAATAAAAAATGGCAAAGAAATTTTGTTTTCATAAATGCTCATAAATATACTAGAATTTTCTAATCATTGTGTAATTTATTGTTATCCTCTATTGTTATTGTTTCTGTTGTTGTTATTTAAAAATGTTGTTGATGACGATGATGATGACGTCAACTGCTTATGTTCTTTGTTTAATTTTTCATCCTTGTCTATTTTTGTTCAGAATTTTTTTTTTCAAATAAATTTCTTATCTATTGTTCAATTATTTTCCATGATTTTTTTTCTAATTTTGATCTTTGATTATTTTTAAGACTATGTTTTTCTTTTTCTTTTAGTTATATTTTGTGTTATTCTTTTTTTTCATTCCTCCCTTCGTGAACGATAAATAACTCGTCACTGCATCTGAAGCAAAGATATTACAGTCTGCGGATGCAAATATTTTATTATCTATGGTGCTATTAATCGAACGTTACTATGGATATGTAATATTTTTATATCTATGTTTTTTGTATTGTTGTTGTTGTTGTTGTTGTTGTTGTCATTGATCTCTTTGGTGACAGTAATAATAATAAAATAATACGAAAAATAAAAACAACAACAAAATATGACGTCATGTAAGCATCGGCAATAATAACAACAACATTAACAACGTTAACATCAGTAGCAACAACATCAACAACAACATAAACAACATCAACAACAAACATATCAATAACTACTCAGCCAAACTGCCGGACAAGTGAGAATTAGGCAGAAATTATGGAGACATAAAAGCGACATAACCATCTGGACGGCCAGTCAAAGATTAAAAATAAGCAAAGATAACGATCTTATCTCTGCCGCTGTGTTGTTGTTGTGTGCGTGTGTGGTTGCGCGTGCGTGTGCTGGGAGTAAATGATTTTTGAAGATTTTGCTGTTGTTGTTGTGGTCGTAGTTGATGTTGTTGTTGCTGATTTTCAAGGGTTTTTTATTCTAGGAAAATTTCCTTCAATTACTTTTTCATTGCTAATAATATGTAAGAATAGTTGTAGCAGTAGCGCCAGTAGTAGTTGTAGTAGTAGCAGTAGTACCAACAGCAGCAGCAGCAGCAGTAGCTGTAATAGCAGCTGTAGTAGTTGTAGTAAAAGTAGTAGTCATAGTAGTAGTATTTGTTGTTTTTTTATTAAGCTTTTAAGTAATCGGCTTATTATTTTGAATAAATTGATCGTTTTAAAGAAACTTCATCATCATCAGCAGTTGCAGCAACAACAAAAACAAGATCTCCATCATTATCATCATCATCATCGTTATCAACAACAACAACATCAACAACAACTACAACCGAAACAAAATTAAACACATTGCAAAAAAACATGAATAGCTCTTTTAATCGAGCTTCTCTTGCAATATTAAAACATTAATTTGTTCAATAACAACAGCAACAACAAAAAAAACAACAATAACAACAATCATAATAATAACAAACAACAACAATAATATTAAAAATAACTTATTATTATTATTTATGTTGTAATTTTTACAGATTTTGGGATAAAAACTGGCGTTCAGGATGTTAATAAAGGTTGATGTTGTTGTTGATGATGTTGTTGTTGATGTTGTTGATGATGTTGTTGTTGTTGATGTTGTCGATGTTACACACACACACCCCACACACACATACACACACACAAACACACACACCACACACACAAACACACACACACCATACACACAAACACACACACGCAAACAAACTTAAACAAGCAAAAACCTATAAAAACGAAGGTTGCGATTTTAAATTTCCTTCCCGCCTCAATAAAAACGGCTCCCTCTCGTCCCCAAACCACCCCGGCCACTACCCCCGCAACGTGCACTGCACCTACACATTCGCCGGCCTTGATGACGAACGGGTCGAGATCAGATTCCACCATTTCCACATTGAAGGCGTAGCCCCGAGGTTTGTTAGGGGGTCATTGTTAGGGGGTCATTATAGGGTGGAGTGATCGTTTTGGAGAGGTCGTTCTGGGGGTCATTATTGGGGGGATGCTTTTTGGTTTTTTGTTGACGGGTGGTTGTTTTGTGTGGTCGCCCTCTGAATATCATGGCTGCTAGCGTTGTTTTTTCGTCACGTATTCATAATTATTATCACTTATTTACATAAATAATTATAATTATGCTCATTTTTATCGTCGTTATTATTATAATTATAATTATAGTTATTATTATTATTATTATTATTGTCCGCAACAGCTGTCTGGCCGATACTCAGAGCGACTACTTGGAGCTGCAGTTTTCGCCAACGCCACCGATCGACGACGATGACGCCGGAAGCGGAAGTAGGTACTGCGGCAAGGGCTTGCCACTTACTTCCGGGAACAGCAGTGCCCTCTTCTCCGAAGGCCCCTACCTGCTGATGACGTTCATAAGTAACGACGTTTACGATGCCACGGGTTTTTCCGCCAGTTACTATTTTTGGAAGAAGAGGAAAGGTTGTTGCTGGCTGGCTGTTTGTATATTTAACACACACGCACAAACACATACACACGAACGCACGCACACACACACACACACACACACACACACGTAAATACACAATAAACCAAAGCGAAACATTGAAATGAGAATGATTGAATGAATGGGAAAATAATGAGAAAAATGACAGTGGTTTGTAATATGTAAAAAATGGATCGTTTCAACGTCCATATATAAAACTTCGTAGAATGCAATTGAAAAATAAGATCGTATAAATGTCTGTATGTTTGTGCGTGTGTGTGTGTGTAGTCTTTGTAAATACGTGTGTATGTATGTGTGTGTGTGTGTGTGTGTGTGCAAGTATGTGCATTTGTTTGTATGTACGTGTTCGTATGCCTGTTTGTAATGTATGTATTTAAATGTATCTACGCATATACATCTATATATACATACATACAAACATTCATACATACATACATACATACATACATACATACATACATACATACATACATACATACATACATACATACATACATACATACATACATACATACATACATACATACATACATACATACATACATACATACATACATACATACATACATACATACATACATACATACATACATACATACATATATACAAACACACATACAAACAAACATACGTACACACCAACATACGTAAAAACTTTGAAACATAAACATGGTCAAGTAATCAATCTAGTTAATAGTGCATAAAGCCTTGCCGGTCTGTAGCTATTGAACCACGGATTCATTCTATACTTCATAAATACTTGTTATCATACACGCCAATATACCATATTCTATGTATGTATGTATGTGTGTGTGTGTGTG